TTGCTGGGTCAAATGGCTTGTAAGTTTCTTTTTTTTTTCTCTCTCTCTTTTTCCTCAGTCATCTTTGAATATAGCAATGTACAGTTTCATTACACATCCTTGCTACTAAAGTTGGATTTTCATGTGCCAATTATTTCAGCAGTCTCAGGTGAAAATTATCCAGGCCCCCTGGRTTCTGTTCCTCTATCACAGGAAATTGTATCTTTAACATAGAGCTCTACCTCCTCAATTCCTTTTATCCACCTTTTCCTTCCTAGACAATTTCTACCTACCAATTTCTACATTCCAGTCATGCAGATAGACCTGCCAGGTTCCAGTCATGCCAATTACACTACATTTCTCATAATCCAGCAAGAATTCCCTATCCCTCTTGCTTTTTAATTACGTACTCACAAGGTGCTCTTCCTCTGCCCCTCTCCCCGGACTGCCGCCTGCAGTGATTCACATATGCTCATTATCACATGGGATGAGGGGAGAAGGGGGAGGCAGAACTGCTCTCCCTGTAAAACCGTGTGTCAAGTTCTTGTTTTTATTACAGAGCTATCCGTTTCTGCAGGATGCACCCTTTTTCTCCAGCTCCAACTGCAAATGAGCATTTAAAATCCATACTTATACCCCCTTTTTCCCTGCTCTCCTGTAAATTCCACTCTACCATTTACTCTTTAAAGAGTGTTAAGGAATATGTTATTAAGAAAATGCAAAAAGTTTCAGCCTCCTTGTCCTGAAAACACAATTCAAGTAAACAGAACAAGCCTAGGCGTACTCATTGTGGACCTCTGTTGCTTCTTAAATGTGGARCATCGTGAGCAGCGTGGTTCATTTAAGGGGATAATACTGTTAAATGGCACCTAGACACCTGTTCTCTTATACAGTTTTTCCCTCTGAATATGGAAGTTATTGCTGAGATGTTCCTTCATTAGGAATTAAAACAAGATATGAGTTAGCATTATTGTTCTTCACTACTAGATATCAAAGTGAACACCCTGATAGGCAAAATCTGCTAACGTGTTGTTACCTTTCCCAACTCTCAAACTCTTCTATTTGCATATGGCATTTTATATCCATAATAACTACTTTAATTTTCTCATGCTGCGTATGTTCATGAGCCACAAAATATACCAGACACATTCCTAGTGGATCACTTCCCRACCTGCTGTTACTAGCACATTCACCCATCTGGCGCCCTACGTCCAGTACGGACACAAAACAGACCTAGTCTGCAGGTTACAGGCACTAGTGACCGTGCTCATAAAGGAATAAGGTGATAGAGGGCTCGTGTGTTGGAAGCTCCAGGGAGGCCATGGAATTCAGTCTGGCCAGGCACCGTGTGCCCAGTGCTGCTCGTGTCAAGTGGAGCTTGTGACCAGCAGAGCCACGGAGCTCTTGCATTTGTGTTGGCTTCATCCTCTCCTAGAGACTAGGCTTCTCCTGTTGTTCTTACGCTCCACGTGGGATTGAAAGCACTGACCCTGCTCTGAAAGAGACAGCCTTTATCTTCTTTTTACTAGACTGGGATTCAGCATTCCTGAGTCAAGAACTGGATTTTTCTTGGCTAAATAGTTATATTCTACTGGTGGGTGAGCCCTATATCTGCTCAAGTTCCTCTTTTCCCAGAAGGCATTTGCAAACATATTTCACAGGGAAAAAATGCTTTTCATCTTCATTACCAGCCTTAGACTTATTGGATAAAAATAAATTTTAGATTCACCAAATAATCACAAGAACACTTCCCCTCATTCAATCTCTGCAAGAGATGTCACAGCGATACCTAGAAACCCTCAACAAGATGAAGGCCCATTTCACATGTACAACACGATTATTACACCTCTACAACCAGAATCTAAATGGACATTTCAGATAATCAATAAGAGGTGATGACACTCAGAAACTCTTTTTTTTTTTTTTCTTTGCAGCATAAATGGCATTTTAAGGTGGGGCCTCGTTCCTCTAGCTGGCTGGAGTTCCAGAAATCCTGTCCTCCTTCTGCTGTTGGGACTGGTCCTGCTGCCTCTGCACCACAAGTTCTGCTCTTCAGCATCTTCAGTGCAGAGTATGAAGCTCTTGACAGTGCCCTCAGCCACGGGGAAAGGAAAATCAAAAGTCTGGTGGGTAGAGGAAGAATGTGGCAGGGAGCTGGGACGGCTGGGAGTTGCCCAGGGACACAGAGTGTTACTGGCATTGCAGGTGGGATTCCTATTGCCTGTCTTCAGCCATCTGTGATGAGGAAGGAGCCTCAGGGCTTGAGGTGACCATCGACTACAGAGCAGTTACGAAAGGATGCAGCAACTGGCTGCATGCAGGTTTTTGACATCACGTAATGATTAAGAGTGTTTTAGTATGTGTGGACTGTTTAGAATAGTGCTATGTGCAAGAGATATGGAGTATCAACACACAGGGCAAGCAGGATTCAAGAGCCTGGAGGATAGTGTTAGCAGCATGGCAAGTTTGTTAAGGATTGCRCTTAGGCTACATACAACAAGTAGGTGTGATTGGTACATGGACTGTGTGACTGYCACCGAGAGCAGCGTGAGCTGAGGAAGGGTGTTGTGATGATGCCAAAGCCCTATGAAGCAAGTGGCTGAGAACATCATAGGCGCACAGAGCATCTAATGATGACATTGAGGCTGAATCTCCCATGCTGTGGCCATTTTCAGTATGCTGTTGCTCAAGCCGCAAGAAAGGTGCTGTTGACTTTATGGAGTGCATTTGTGCTGGTGGTTTGTTTGACACACTGCTCTCCATGTRTGTGGTTAGTGCTGATTTCTTGATATGCCCGTGGTGCCCTAGGCACTGTGCGACCTGCGATGCAGGTCGGTGAGCAGTAACTGGGCTGTGGACAGCACAGTGAAGCCTCTGGGACTGGGGACCAGCTGCTGTGAGGAGCCTGGGGCTTGTATGCGCGGCAGGAAAGATGTTGGATTGGGGCTGGCTGGTAACTTGCTGCCCTGCACCTCAGATAAATCAATCATCCCTCTGGTTGCAAAAGGCCATGACTATAGACAGTCTGGCATTACAAACCAGTCAGGCCAGGTGAAGACCTTTCATGGCCATTTATGATGACTTTGTTATATCATTCTTGTGCTTACTAGAGAAGATATGATAAATCCTGAGCAAAGTAGCAGTCTGTCCCTGTCTGGATTCTCTCTAATGGCTGATCACTCCTAGCTGGCTAATCAAACAGGTCCTTTCACCAAGTAAATAAGGATAAATACGAGCAGGCACACAGGTGGCTGCTGTGCTGTTGTGCTTTCTCCTGCTTTCACCATAACTTTTGAGATCTGTCTTTCAGCTTTCCCCCTGAATCACCCACTACAGCAGTGCTTGGTTTACCTACCACAGATTAAATCAATCTATTTTCCTTCTCCCACACGGACTTCAGGATTCAGGCTAGACTAGTCACATCATTACAAAGTAGCCCAGACATAAAGCTTGGATTGGAAACCTTGAAGTGTTGTCCAGGGATGTGAGTACRTTTTCTCTACCCCAGAGAAAACTCTGAAAAAGTGCAAAAAAGGCTAAGCTGCTCTTTTGGGTAGCTGTGGTCTGAGCTTGTTTCTAAATCGGTAAGACAAACAATTTTTTTCTGAACTTTTTAACACCCAGAGGGTTGCTTTGCTGCACACCTTTCTGCATGGGGCTGTTTGTTGACAGTTCCGAGCTTGGAGTTCATGAACACTCCTTTTCTTGCATTAAACTGAGTTTTAATGACAGCTTAATTCTTGAAGCACAAGCCTCCAAAATACCCAGAGAGATACACAGCACCTCGGGATGAAACAGACTGTGAGCTGCTAGTCAAGTTTGCCCCACTTCACAGTACATTTTTATAGAGCAGTTTTACCCAAATCCCATAAATTTCSCTGTATCAGCACCAAGAAGCCTGCTGCAGAGACAGAAATTATTCTGCCTTCACCAGATTGGTATATCATTTTCAGTGCTATTTGGGGGCAATAATTTTTGCTTGGTTCAGGGCAACACACAGGTCTCTGTTATTTCCTGATACACTGTCCTAGAGACACGACCCATAGGACAATTCCTCTCCCCGAGGGGCGCTGAAAAGACCAGCTCCCCGACTTACTCCTTCAGCGAACACAAGGTAACACAGAAGCAGCCCAGCACTGGCTGTTCCTGTCACTATTCCAGCACTACACCAGCCATCAGCGTCCCTGTCGTACTGTATCATGTCTGTAAACTTCATTTTCTAATCACATCATCTAGAAAAAAGTCCATTTGAAGCCGAGTCGGGACACTGGGGCTATCGGGCAGCTCTGGGGCAGGACTGTCTGGGTGTATCTGCCAGAGCCTCAGAGCAGCCCCAGCCACCTTCGCTCCTCCCGCGGTTTGTGAGCTGCTGGGTGCCAGCACAGAGCGATGCGCTGATACGCTGGAGAGATGCCTTCTCCGGCAGCTCGCTGCAAGTAAATGGCTGAGCAGGGAACAAGAAGGAGCTTTCTTGTGCTCAGTCCTGCCCTTTTAACTGCCATTTCTCTACCCTACCCCAGTAAACAGAGCAGTTAGGCACAAGGAGGGGGCAGCGGGTAGTCATTTCCTTAAGGGATGCAAGGAAAGAGGAGGTGTGGGCTACAGGCTGTGAACTTTATGCTTTCTCTGTTAGTCAGAGCGCTGTGCTCTGTGTTATTTAGGGGGCAATTACTATTAGCTTGGTTGGCTACTAGCAGCTCCATAAAAACTAACAGCCCCTATCTTTCGTGTGCTCCATGGAGCAGTTCCCAAAGAGAAGCACTGGACTGTCTCTGACTGCAGCGGCAACACCAGGTAGCCCATATTGCTTAGTACAGCTGAGCACAGACTCTGCACCAGGTGAATAGGCAGATCTTTGCTCCTGTTGGAAACAGGTTGCTTGTGCACAAAGAATTGCCAAAATTCTGCCTCTCTCTGCAGGCTGAGCCTGCGATACAGCACAGAGCTGCTCGCCCCTGGGTTTACTGCAATAAACCGAGCAGAAAGCAACGCAAGCTGGAAGGAAGTTGGTTTACACTCACCGGCAGCATTGATATTTTCCTCACAGGAGTACCAGATTCCGGTGTGGAAATACCTGAAGAGGAAGCGGTCATCTCCCGTCTCCCAGCTGTAGTGAACCACGTTCTGGTTTGTCTCATTGGCAGTCTCATTGCCACTGTAGTTGAGGCAGTTCGTCTTCTTCTCTTTCCCGCAGCTCGGCTTGGGGACCCTCTGCGTGCCCTCGCACCAGTGGGTCGTGATAAAAGCTGTCGTGGAGAAGAGGAGAGCCATCAGATTCAGACTCACTGCTAGCAGGGCTCTGCATCTTCGATTTGTCTTCATGGTAAATCCGCCCTCCCTCCCCCTCCTGCTGAGAGAAGAAGTCAAAGGGTTTGGGKTTTTTTTGTGTGTTTTTATGTTTTTTGGTTTATTGGGGGGGGTGGAGTTCAAAGCCTCTCACGATTCAGAATCCAGTTTTCCAGGGGGCAAAACTCTCCGCTTCTTCCAGTCCGCTGCTGTAGCGGCGAAGGAAATGCTGCAGCCGGGCTCCCATTCTCCCCCTCGCTGGAAACGCTGCCTTTGTGCGTTAGCGCCGCAGCTGCGGGCGCGGGAGGGCCGCCGTGCCCGAGCAGCCCGGCTGCCTCCGCGCGCCGCCGGGGCCGCGCAGGCTGTGGCGCGCGGCGAGCGCCTCAGCATCTGCTCGGGCAGCGCGCGCGATCCCGAGGGGCAGCGCGGCGGCCTGCGCCGGGGGACGCCCGCAGGCTGCAGGACTCGCCGGCCTCGGCGCCCCGCTCCGCTCGCTGCCACGCGCCGCCGCGGCCACCTCGGGGGCCGCTGCATCACACGGATGGGCTCTCGCTGCGGGGAGGCGTCACATCCAAGTCTCCGCAAGAACCCGTGTCTGTCCCCGTGAAAGGCATTGTTTTGTAGCAGGGACAAACATTTGTCCCCCAAAAAAAGGAGGGATTGAGGGCTACTTTCCGAGTTACTAAGTGTAAATGAGGGGGTTATTTCTGCTGTGCAGGCACCAGTGTAATTCTCTGTCTTCTGGAAGTCAGCACAGCCCCAGAGAGTTCGTATTTAAAAGTCTGTGATGAATAGAAAGCGTGTTCCCCACCACAGCAAGCGGGGCCCCTTTTGCAGGCTCCCCTTTCCAGGCCCAGCCCACACAGGTGTTTGGTTTGAAGTGGGGCTGCAGGACGCTCCTRGCAGGTGTGGTGGGACAGAACTAATTAAAACAGAGAGTGCTCTGTAATGTCCCCTTCCCAGAGACCAGCATTGCCCCATCTTGTTGATGTGCTCTTATCATTGATAATCATTTCCATGCCTTTTTAGAGCTACGTGGTGAGCACTGAGTGCTGCAAGGACACAGGATGCTCAACGTTAGTGGTGATGCTTTAATACCTGCATCCGTGTGCTGACTACATTTGTCCCACAGTGTTGTTTTTGTCCCTGTATTACATGAACATCTTTTTTTTTTTTTTTTTTTCGTTAGTGGTGATGCTTTAATACCTGCATCCGTGTGCTGACTACATTTGTCCCACAGTGTTGTTTTTGTCCCTGTATTACATGAACATCTTTTTTTTTTTTTTTTTTTGGTGTGTGTGGAGAACCACCTGTGTATCCCACCCCGCCCTTGGACTGAGAGATACATCCAGCTTTGTTCAGATGTCCTGCAGGGTCTGTGGGGATGCTGAGGACCTCAGCAGGCTACTGCACGAGGCTCCAGGAGCTCCTCTCTCACATCCCCATCATAGATAACCACAGGACTCTGCGCTGTGTTTTTGCCAGTGTCTGTCCTGCATGTCTGCTTCCAAATGTCTGCTGAAAGTTTTCACTTTTTATACCGAATCATTTGGTTCTAGCCTTTTCCTTTTTTAAATAAACTAAAAAGGTAGAGGCAGAAAAATGCTACTCTTTGAGAACAGTTGAGAACTTCCCAAGATCAGAGGAAGAGCCTCATGCAGCAGGTATTTCTTGCCTCATGTGGCCTTCATATGGCTCATTCCTTCACATATATGATGATGCCTCCCTGACACCCGATTTCTCCAGAGGCCTGTGCAAGAGGACGACACCTGAGCACAGTCTTCCTTGCACTGCAAGAATGATCTCTACTTTCTTGACATCCCAGTCCTTCCAGCATTTCACCTTGCAAGCTATCCARCATTATCCGGGTGGTTTTAATTGCATGCAAGTATAGATGACAATTATTTAGAGGATGACAGGATTATTGCTGTAATGTTTCTCATGTTGCAGTACAACTTGCTTAGGAATGTTTAATTTCACACATTTCACTTAGAAATGGATCTAGATGTTCCTAGGYGTATCTACCTGCTTAAAGAAATAACTTTTACCTTTGACAAAATCCCTTAGCAGGGAGTTCATGCTCTTTGCCAGGATTAGGCTTCCAGCAGTTGTCAATATCTGACTCCACACTTCCCTAAGTGTGAATACATATTTTTACATTTTTCTCACAAATCTTCTCTCTCTACTGCTTCATGATTTGTGTTTTCTGGTCCCAGGAACATCTTTGTGACACACAATTTCTCCTCCTGGGAGATGGACAACAACAGCTTTTGTTGTCTGTGACAATAGTGTCCTAAATACTTCAGAGATTTTTGTCTTCACTCCTAATCCTAACAGTGCTTTCTACATCTATTCTTCATCATCTTCTTTGCTTTTGATTTTTTKGGGGGGAGTGGTAAGTCTATTGAGAACAGACATAGTGGCAGTATGGGAAAATAAGGCAGAAATTTGGTTTCTTTCATGATGTAGATTTTTAGGATCTCAAGAGTTTTAGAAAACTCAGCACAAAGTAAAGCATGGTAAAAATCACCGTTTTTCTTATGAGGAAGTTTTTTCTTCTTCCAAACAAAAGTCAGCTTTTTTTAATTATTGGACGACTCTGTCTGAATTTGTTAGGATTTATTGGAAAGAAGGAAAGTAGTCTCTGCTATACTCATAGTGTAATGCCCCAACAATTTTTCTTTATATAATCTCTGTTTATCAGATTTGGTGTGTATAAAAATGGAAAGATCATGCATGTGCTGCAGAAAGCAGTTCAGATGCCTGGATTAAGTTGTATTTATGTGGTATTATCTTTAAGAGTAAAGCAGAAGGGTTTGAATGTTATAGAGAAATAGGCTTTATATTGCAACTACAAAAATCTCTGAAGTCATTTTTGCAGCAATAGCTTTTCTCATGTTTAGAGAAAAACTATCTTCATGGGTAATAACTAACACCTTTCCTTTTATTATTTCCTACTGGATCAGTACAAATTGTTATTACTCAGTATTTACTTGGAAACAGAAAAAAATTGACTCAGAGGATTTAAAATAATGATAGCATTTGCAAAGGAACTCTTTTAACCAGCTGTATTTGACACTAGTTTTAAAGTGCAGCAACCTTCACTAAAAGTGAAGAGGCCTTCCTTTGGGTCCCTCAGTGATGGTTGGTGGTCTGATGAGCTTGGTTTGGTTACTCGTTTGATGCCAACAGTGTTGAGAGGTTTCCTTCTATAATGCTGTCTTCAGCACCCACTGGCTTCCCAGTTTGTCCTTGAGCAGGACCTCTCCTAGTCTCCTCAATTCCTCCTTACCATGGAGCCACATAATTCCATGTGTTCAACTCATTTGTCATGTGAATGGCTCAAAATCACCACCTTTACTCAGAATTYTTCTCCTTTTACCTAGACATAGGCCACTTGCACAACTTACCTTTTTCTTGTTCTCTTCCAGGTTGGAGCCCCCTCTTCCTCCTCTATCATTCCTGCCCAGTGTGCTTCTGTTGGATCCCTCTGTTAAACAGAACAAAGTATTTTTTCTGATCAAAGTCACTTAACTGGTTTTACTTGTATAACTGGAGAAGGATGGTGTAAGGATGGAAATGCTCTACATTCCTCCCCTAGATTGCAACCATAAAGGTGATCGCTGATGCAGTTTTTCCATTCCATATCAAGGTGACCTGTTGCTGTTTTCACCTCATTTGCTGGTTTTACCTTTTTAAAATTTTTCTCTCAGTGCTCAGTTTGACCCAAATTAGCAGCAATGATCCACAGCTCTCCACGCCTCCAGGCTGAGCCATAAATCARCCTCACAGATCTGTGAGGTGCTGCTGAGACATTCCTGATTTTCTACATAAGCCTCAAGTGAATTGACAGTCTGGCAATGATAGATTYGAAGGTGGGCTGAATATTGATACCAGATGAAATTCTGATCTTCAGTTTAACTTTGGACTTTATTAAGGATAAGCCTTCCATGCACACTGCTTCTGGGAGTTGAGTCAAGCGTAACAAGATTGCTCAGGAAATCTTTCCTGCTCCTGAACTGACCAGGCAAAAAAATGGTTTCTGACAGTAYTGTAGCCAAAGGCCTTTAGCAATCTGGACAGCAAGGAAAGCAATAAAAACAAACTGCTGGCTCTTTCCTATACTTGTCCCGTAACTAATGCTACATTTCCCTTGWCTCAGTGTCGCTCAACAGTATATAAGACATTTCTAAGTCCTCTCTTCTACGTAGTTGGTTTGGATACTTTAATCGCTTGTTGGTGTTGGTCGCCATACCCTTGACACCATAAGTGCATAATTCAAGCAGGAGATTCAAGATCTCTCTCTRTTCTTTCTGCTGATGACAAATGGTGACTCTGTAGCTTGCCTGAATTGCAGTCCACCCCAAACAGAGGATCTCTCTGTGTACAATCCCTGTGATCTATGTATTTGCCCTACTATTGGCATGCAAAAAAAAATGTACTCATCTAGTAGCTGCATTTAGTTGTTTCAGCAGCTGGTGGAGAGAGAGATGCACAGAAATGACAGACTTGAAACAAGTTTATGCTGTAAACTATGGCTTGGAGTCTTCACTGACTAACTTGCCTAGAAGGGCAGTACTCCTAAYGCCAGGCTATAGCTTAGGGCATCCTACTTCCAACTAAAAAGGAAGAGATTTTGTCTGCGCATARTGATAAGCTGAGAGATAGAAGACGCTCTTCAAGAATTGTCTGACGTGACAGAGGACTAATAGGAGTGAGGGATGGCTAGTGGGAGTGAAGGGGAGATGCATGGAAATGAGCGGCAGACAGAAAGAATGAGGGATGGTCATGCCTGAACAACTAGGATATTCCAGGGACCATTCTTAATAAACCGCTTGCYTGTGACAACCGCTTGCTTGTTACATCTATTTTGTAAGAAAAAGGTGTATCATCACCGTTCTAGAAGTCAAGGCATCTTGATGCCCCATAGGAGAGCACTGGAGGACAGAAGAGCTGGGGTTTCTCTATCCCCCMGAGAGAGCCACTCAGATTACTGAAGAGCCTGGCAGAAAACAGGCTGGGCAGCCGCAGGTTGTGGTATTGAGGGCAGCACCAGAGGGGCTGCAGGAGGGCAGTTTTAGTGCAGCTGTAACAGTTACTTCATCTACTGCAAGGGCTTGTGCCCAGCTCAAAGATGCGGTTCTGCTCTACCTGAAACAGAGTGGTTTTATAACCCTACGTGGTGTCTTTTATTAAACTACATTGCTGATTTATGGGTAAATAGGAAACCTTTCCCCATTCACAATAGGAATCTTTCTACCATAAAGGATTCTTGCTCCCTAGATACAGAATTCATTCTTCT